GCAATATAATTTCTTTTTTAGTGGATGCCGCAAGGAATCGCAATGAAGAAGTTTTCAATTCTGCGGACCAGGTCACTAAAGATGCTGAATCCACTCCCGAAAAAAGCAATAATGTTCTTGTGGGTGTCCTTTGTAATATACTGGCGAATGTCGTCGATAGTTACGTAATGGACGCATTCAATAAGTCTAGCATTTCTTGCAGGCAGGCTCCCAAGATCGAAAGCCGAAACAAGATTTCGAGCGTTAATATCTTCCCGAAGCCAGTAATTGTAAGTTCAATAATATTTTACTGATTCATCTTGATAGTTTTTAATCACCTTTTTAGAGCAAGAACGACGGCGATAAGATGAAGCCGTCATCTCCCATCTTGGATAGATCGGGTGGGTATTTTTGGTTAGTTAGATGCTGTACCCAACACACCAATATATTGAGGATTAGAACGGGGCAGAAATTTGGATTGAATTTGTGTGGTTAATGCCACTTCGATACTTCCTGTGGGAGTTCGTTTCTACCAGCCAATCCTTACGGGTTGCATTTACTCCATCCAACCTATAGCTCTGCAGTATGTCAAATAGAAGTTTCTGCTGAACGCGATCTCTATCCGCGTAACTTTTTTCCTTCATTTCTTTTGATTTCCCTCATTTTTTAACCACCATAGCCGAACGGTCGGTAGCAGAGAGCTATGTAGTCTGGTATTATCGCGTTGGAAGTAGGCAAGTATGTTGTGCTTGCATGTTTTAGAAGAAGCCTCATCAACGCTCCTTTATTAATAACATAACGTCATTCATTACATCGACGCGTGGAATCAAAGTGGGAATTATAGAGTAGCTATTAACAGTGACTATGCTACGACAATGAAGAACGTAACGCTAAATACAAGGCTTCTGAATGCTTGTTCGGCTACGTTTGTGCTATAAAAATTGCCACTGGCATTCATTCGAAAACAAATGTGGTTGTTTATAAACATAAAAATAAGTCTTAGATAGTAATTATTGCATTCCAAACTCTAATATAAAAAGCGCTAGCATTGTTTCCTACGTGATAATCTGCACAACGGAGTTAAAAATAGTATCGTGACTGTCATTTTTCATTTTTTTTGCAGCATCAACAACTGGTTGGACATTAGTTGACTCTTCTTGTTCAGAATCTCATGTTGAGCCGAAGCGCGATAAGGTCCAGGATATGTTTGCTGCTGAAGAAAAGGAGATAAAGGAAGAGAATAAGAGAGCCAATGTAACGGGACAGGGAAAAGGATCTCTGAAATCCGGAATGACGACTCAAAGCGTGCGTTCTAATTACCGAATTAGTCCTTTTTGCTGCTTTCGATATTTTTTCATT